ATTGTACATTAATCAGAGGAGAAGGATACCATACAGTAATCTATCAGATTGCATTATATTTCTTCATATTCTTACAAGAACTGAAGCACATGGAAATGTTTGTGTGGAAGGGAGGTGATTTCCTTTCACTGTATGAGCTATTCAGGAAACAGATGTAGGAAGGAATTAGGGGCCAGAGACTTAAGGAGATGTGTGTCCTTGATTTACAAAAGAAAGCCAGGCAGCTTGATTTATGAAAAATCACATATTTTAGACCATTCTTTTTGCATTGGGAAGATAGTTTGATGCTTGTCAGTGTTTAAGCAATGGAAACTTCATTCTAAGAGTGTAAGAACACTTACTGGCACCACTTTCAGCTACCGTGGAATACATATTCTCTGGTGAAGTTATATCCCCAAGTTGATTTTTAGTTGGCATTACACAGATGTTACCATCAAATTAGTCATTGATTTTCTTCTCATGTCGTGCAAATAATATACGCAACGTGCAAACACAAAATTTACACTAAAATTTAACAGTTTTACTTGATTTTAAATAACCTGGACATAAGTTTTGACACTGCCACCTTATCAACTCAATTTAAAATAAAGCACACGCTGTTTCATGGATAATTTTTAACTTTGTGTACATACAGTATATACTTTACAGTCAGATCTGAGATCTTGCATGTATTTTAAAACAGCCATCTTTATAATTAGCTTTATAGTAAAAGTTATCCTGAAATCATGAGGGAGTTAAAATTCACTCCATCTTGATTTGCATCTGAGTTCAACTGTACAGAGATGGTTGGCTTGTTTGGACACTGAACAGAAAAAATGATGTAATGTTTTTGGGGCCAAGAGCCCAACAGTACAAAGAGATTAGCCTAAATAAGAGTTGCAGATTAAGAATCTGAATAAGAGCTACATGGATATACAGAGGGGCACACTAACAGTAGTTCTCAGTGACAACACTAGCTACTGAGTTAGATCAACATAGGAAATGCAGCAGAATTCTACTTAGGGTGAAGAGCACTATTTAGTGGTCAGAACATATGACTTGTCACGTGGCATACTCTGAAGAAGCAAGGTCAGTGTTAAAGTGATGGATGAACATGAGCAATAGATGGTGTATAGGTGGTACAATGCATAGCGCTTTTCATCTGTAGATCTCAAAGCACTTTACGTGGGAGGAACATTGTCCCCATTTTACAGATGGGGAAATTGAGGCACAGAGTTGAAGTGATTTGCCCAAGGTCACCTAGGCCAGTGGCTGAGCCGGGAGTAGAACCCAGGTCTTGAGTCCCATCCAAGTACTCCATTAACTAGGCCTACATATAGTATACATAGGCTTGGAAAGATTAGATTTTTTATAGGGAAATGTCAGTAAATGTCAATTTCACTACACACACACAAACCGACAAAAAATATTTCCATCAATAATAATCAAAATGTACAGCTAGGCAAAGCAAGAAAAATGCTTCTGAGAACTTATTAGAGTTTGATTTTAGGGTATTTACTTTGTATATTTTGACATGTGAAACTGACAATTTGTTTTAATGGTTTATAAAATAGCTTTAACTTTTTGAATCTCAATGTCTGCTATCATTAAATATCCTCACCATCCCCATAATTTTCCATAACCGTGAAAATTTAAAATACAAATAGGGAAAATGCATAAAATAATCGATATTATCTGTTAAAGTTATAAAAAAATAAAATCAAATTCTGCCAAGCTTAAATATACAGCAGCAACACAGTAAGTGGTTCTGGTGATAAGCACCTTTGAAAGGTCCTGTTTGTTAAAGGATGTTATTTAACTAAATGGGCATTTTCTTCAAATGATCTGATGTAAAGCAACTTAAATCCAAGTGACTATAGTTACTCATTAGTATGGAGAATTTTTACCTTGTGTTATATAATAAGAGGATACAGTGCTACTACTATGGTCTCTGCTTGCTTCTGGCAGTCAGAACAAGTGTTTGATTTTTCAGTTTATATGTTTGAATAAATGAATTATTTTCAGTTTAACCATTATTTGTATATAATTCTTATTCTTTTTTCCCCAATATGTAGACAAAATTGCACTGTGTCTAATCATGCTAACTCTAGGAAAAAGTAGTATTTGTCATTAAGAACTGAACCTTCTAATTGGAAATAAGATCAGTAGTTTAAATCCAGGACCTCTACCTTAGCTTTCTCTCTTATTCTATTCACTAAGCTGTTTCAATGTGGAATTAGTTTTTCAATGTGTGAATGAGAAAAGAGGTTTGAGAATATGAGGTTAAGTATATTAGTCCTCGAGGAATGGATGGTTTCCTCTTTATCCAAAGGGGAAAAGACTGCCAGCACATAAAGTTAGCTAGGTTTTAAAGGATTATTTAAAATAAGCTATGACTAAGATGGCAGCTAATGAGAAGTAAACAAGGTACACATTAAAACCTGCTAGGTACATTAGAAGTACAGTTGAAACAATCTTCAGTCAAAGATGAGGTACATAATAAAATGCACACCTTATAAATGAGAATACAGCTACCAAGAAGCATAAATGAAAAAATGGTGAAGCCAGAAAGCCTAGCATTTCTGACACATCGTGGAATAAATGAAATACCACAATTTCTTGCTGTGAGTACTTAGAAACTATACAAAACCCATAAACTACACTAGACAGGAAAGAGAGCTTAGGTCAAATGTGTGGGAATAGCTTTGTACATACAGAATGCCATAGACTGTGAAGAGTGCCACGATGTGAAATCTGTGCAGATACAAAATTCAGGTCATAAAAGTACAAGTACTGTATAGTAATAGGGATGTTTTACCAGATTATATCTCAGTAAAGAAGTCAGAATGTTGAGAAACATCAGGGAAGTAACAAAATACCAGTAATAATGGGCAATGAATAAACATCACTGCAAACACATTGTGGAGAATTGCTCCTCGGAACAGCTTATGCTTGAACAAACAGAGGCGGGGTGCATCTTGATTTACAGAACATTCCTGAATCAATTTCTGTGTGTTACTCAGGATTAAGTATGGTTAGTCATAACATAATTTTGATATCCTTGGGAGCATTCCAAGAGGTGGTACTATGACACAAAACTTCAGTAAGGGGGATTTTTTTGTAATGTAGTTCTTTAGATTCATCAGAAAAGTAGTATGCTGACAGTGGTATTGGGTCCTGTAGGCCATCAGAGTGTAAAAGAGAACAATGATTGTCTCCATCTGTATTGTCAAAGAAGCAGATTGCAACAGTGAGAGATCTTGTTAAACAGCCCTTAAAAACAGTTTGACCAAATAAAAACAGTTTGACCAAACACCGTAAACAAAGCTGAGCCACGTTTAAAAATGTTTTAGCCCAATTCTGTGTGAGTGCCAGTCTAAATGAGGTTCAAAGAGCATAAAGAAACTGCAGGGAAACTAAATAGTGCTTTTATATTAGTCTTCACCACAAAGGAAGAGAGCATATTTAGAGCCCTGGGAAATTATTATTTTTATAACTTTGCAGGGTTTTGGGGGAATTTCATTTTACTGTGGGAGGCCTGGAAAGGAGGGGGGGGGGAATTGCAGAGAGAGCCTGCCCTGCAGCTGGTGGCTCCTTTCCTGCTGGGTGGGCCCAACTCTCTGCTCTGGGCATTGTGCCCTGGCCACCTAGGGTCACATCACCACTTAGGTTTGGCCTGGCTGCCCCTCTGATGGTGCGGAGGAGAGGGCAGCCACTGAGCCAAATGGCAGTGAGTCAAACCGCAGGTCACAACGCCCGGAGTGGGAGGGCTGGGTCCAGTCCCACAGGACAGTTACCACCGCTGCAGGATTTTCCATTTTTATTTTACAGGCTGTTTTTTGTTTTATTTTTTTGTTATTTCGCACTTGCAAAAAAATACTGGGCACTGGTAATATTTATCCCAGGATTACTGTACATGGGTAGTGAAGGTGAAGCAATGTCAAAAATAGAAATACTGGGGGGAAAATTAGTAGCAGATTTGACTGAAATTCTATGGAGGTAGGGATTTAGTACCTACCACAGGGTGAGTCTGATTCTCATTAGGATTGGCACAATACAAACAATACTGTACTAGATGGCATTCATCATTCTAAAGGACCTAAGAATGAAGAATCTACAAATATTAAATCTGGTCAGAAAAGAGAATCTTCTCCTCCCTTCCCCCCTGGCCCCTGAAAGTTTCCACTTTGGGCCAAAATATTTTGCTGAAAGATAACAACATTTCTAATTCAAACTGATGCCACAATGCATTGCACCAGGAATTGTAGTTTACGTGCTTTGTACTCCCATTGTCCTCTGGGGCAGGCTTTCTGGCTGGACTATATTTCCCATGATGCACCACTCACTCTCCTCTTGGTGAATGGAGAAGACATACTATGGGAGTCTGTGTACCTCGAAAGCTTGTCTCTTTCACCCACAGAAGTTAGTCCAGTAAAAGATATTACCTCATCCACCTTGTCTCTTGACAAATTAGTCTTTCCCAAGCCTTCTGATGAAGTCCCTCTCAAGAGGTGCTTGAGGAAACTTGGTAAGTGCAGGATAAGAGGTAAATGCCTGTTATAGATTAAAAACTGATTTAAACAATAGCATAGAAAAGTAGGGCTAAAATAGTCATTTATCAGTATGGAAGAGTAGACTCTGAGCAAACAGTAGTAGAACAAGTAGTGTACAATGTGGTTAGTCAACTTCTGCCAGACTGTTGTTAGTGGGGTGGCAAATATATACTCAGTACAAAATTACTTACAGGCCTGGGAAGGATTTTGCTTGACTCCATACCAGCCTAGCTGACACAGGAAACTGGTTAGCACAATAGTAGATGAAATTCAATGTTGACAAGTGCAAGGTAAACCACATTCAAAGAAGCAATGATGGGTTCTAAATTAGACGTAACCTCTCAGCAGAAGATCCAGGCATCAGTGCGAACAGCTCATTGAAGATAATATGCTTAACATGTAACAGCAGTCAAAAAAGCAAGTAAGCTGTTACACTGTTTTACAAAGTAAATATAGAGTAAAAGATAATTCAATGATATTGTCTTCACTTTGCATATTGCAATCAGTTTTGGTCATCTTATCTCAGAAATGAGTGAGCAGAAGAAACGGTCCAGAGAAGGACACTACAAATGATTAGAATTATTGGGGGATTTCATATGAGAAGAGCTTAAAAAGACTAGATCAATGAAGCCTGCACCAAAGAACCAACTGTTAGCCAACCCATCTTAAGTAGCCACTTTGAACTGTTTCCAAGGTTTATAGTACAATTTTGTCCAGCCAGCATTTATAGTCTGTGTGTACTAGGCAGTCTTATTACACTGGCCCCTGGGCCATTCAAGACATTTTTCACTGTAGTTTTCAATGGACAAAATTAAGAGATGTGGTAGGGGTATATAAAATAATCAGTAGTACAGAGAAGGCTAATCAAGTACTGTCACAATACAATAAGATATTTAAAATTAAAAGGCAACGCATTTAAAATTGGTGAAAGGAAATCCATTTTTACATGACACTCAATGCCACAAGATACGATTGTGGCAATTATCTAAACATGGACTCAACATTTGTATGAACAAGAACAGTGTCTGCAGTTGCATTAGGCTAAAATAAACATAAGAGCTATTATGCTTCAGCGTATAAACTGATCATCATATGGAGTCAGGAAGACATTTCCTCACTATTATATAGTATTGCACAATTGGCCAAGTGTATTATGAGGGTTTTACCGCTTCCTCTGAAACATCTGGTCTTGGCCTCTTGGAAACAGCCAATTGAATGAATTAGACCAAGGTCTGATCTGTCATGACAATTCCTCTGTTCCTCTTTTGAAAATACAGTATCTGGCAATTGTTGAATTGTAGTAACACTTTCCCTTCCAACTGTCTAACCAGTCAACTTCTTTGCAATCACGTAAGCAACTGTAACCAGTGATGAAAACAGTGATTGCCCTTCAGAGCAAGCAGGTTGGAGTTTTAAATTTAAGAAAATTACCACCACTCCAGTTTACATTTTTCTTCTTTTCTTATGCCAAAGAAACATTTTCCAGCTAAAGAGTATCTGAACTGTTGTGTAATTCCCAATTTCAAAGGAACAGAATCCATACACCATCCTCAGTTATGGCAATCAAGTCTCTATCTTGAGGCGTGATGCATGTACAGTTTTTATTGTCTTTGCACTGTGTTTTCCATCCAGGCTGTTAGTGGATATCTGAGAGTTTTCTTCTATCAGGCTATCTTTGGACCCATTTCGCCTCTGAAGAGAACAAAGACAAATTAAAAATACACTGTTGAAAATATAATGAAAAATTAAAATATTACTTCCTTCATCTCTTCCTTTGCTACAGGCTTAGCCTCAATCCTGCACTGGGATCTGCTACTGTAGAGCCCCTCAGAGTCCTGTTGGAGTCAATGGAACTCCTTAAGAGCACAGGGACCAAGCGCTGGATCCTTATGCAGGACTGGGGCTTAAATATTAAAAATAGAACTGGTTGAATTATTTATAGTGTCCCTTTCAAAAATGCTATGATGTTTCTTTATACAGTGACTCCAGGAAAACAGAGCGAACTGTTACAATAGTGGCAATAATCAGATATAAATGATCCATCAACATTTAGCAGAATGGGATTGGTATTTGCTTACTTTGCAGGTGAAATGTAGGCTAAGGATGTGACAACTCTGATTCACTTACCTATACCAACATTGTGGGAGAATATTTGCATTTGATCACATACCAAAACTACTTTTCTTTTCTCTCCATTGGCCCAGGCCAGGATACTTCTACAACCCCTCCCTGTTACAGACACCCATTACATGCTTGTTCCTGCTAGCCTGACCTCTTCCCTTGCCCCTATCTGTTGTTCCTTGCCATTGTTTGGATTCATATTCTATAGTCAGCAAATACCAAGACTAAATTATTTGGTATTTGGCCAATTATTAAAAACATGCATTCGTTGGGCATTAATGACCTGACAGTGCTTGTTTAGCTGATGTGGGATACCCCAATGCTGCTAACTCCTTCCAGGACAACAGATTCAAACCAACCAGAGTGTAAACAAGACAACATAGTGAATTCCTGAGTATGCAAAAAATAAACCTGTGAAATTCTCATTATTCCTTAAGGACTCAATCATGCAAGGTTAATATTTACCCTGTGAAGAATTCATACTTATTGTTGAACTGTTCTTAATTCTTATTAAGAAAAAAATCAATCTTTTAAACATTGTTTAGCCAGACTGAGATGTAAAAAAAAACAAAAAAACCCACAAACCCCACTGTGATGCTAGCAGGCCAGGTGCCAGCTCATGCCAAGGTCCCCATGTCTCAACTGAACAGACACATAGCTGGAATCTGTTTGGCAGTTAGTGTTTGGATCTGTGAATGCTTGTAAATTGCTGCATGCATTAATCTCACTTGTAATATCTGTATTCCATATTATAATATTGGAGTGGATGTAGTGTGAGCCTCTGTGATCATATGAATTGCCATACAGGAGAGAGACATTAATTAGTGTGAAGAGCTGCTCTTCTCATTTAGCATGACTTTCAGAATCTTGGGGAAAGTCTGAGTATTGCATTTCAACGTGCTCTGACATAGCTTCCTAATAATTTCATTTCCATAACTGACTCCATCCATTTGATGATGAAGATAGACATTTTTAGCAAGAAAAATAAATTAAGTTCTAAAAAGTGAAAAGTCAAAAACACTGTTACTGTTCACTGAACATGCTGGGCCAGAGATGCCTTCCTCATCTCTAGCAACAGCAACAAAAGCACCATAAGACACACAAAACTGAAACAAAGTCCAGTAAGAAATGATTTGCCATGGAAGCAAAAGGCTTAGTAATCCACTAAATAATCAAGCCGACTACACCTGCATGAGTGCACCCCATTTTCCAATATATGCTATCAGAGTAGCAGAGCTTTCCCTTGATTCCTAGAAATCCTGTAGCATTGCTGAAAAAAACTCCCAACAAACTGACATTGGTACAGACAGTGACTGTTAGTGGCAATCACAGAGGAAGTGGCTCCTACTTTTCTAAGGACTCGTATGTAGGTAGAAACCCACCTAGTATTTTTCCCTTGTCCACATTAATTAATTATGTACTTTAGTATCCTTTAACATTAGATTTTCATAAATAAAAATCTAGATGCTTTTTTGGACATCAGCTGCCACTTCTGAAAGGGAACACTGGGATAACATGACACATAAAAGGACCTTCCACTTCTTCAGCAAGATCTCAGATCTCAGAATGCTTTACAAAAAAAATCATGAAATAAACCTGAACACATCCAGTAAAGAAGGTAATTAGCCCCATTTTAGATGGGGAAACTGAGGCTGAAAGTCATGCTCCAGGTCACATAACAAGCCTTTGGCAGAGAAAAGAAACCACAACTGGTTTTACTCTGGCATTTTAACCATTAGGCCACACTTCCTCTCATAGTGATCACACTGTTCAGAGTAACACTGATACAACCAACACCATCAAAGCAAACTGTACTTTGCAGTGAGACACTTAGTGAAATGACTTTTAGAAGTACCAGCATTTTGAAATTGAAATCAAGAAGAAAAACAACTCTGATCTGGTAGGATAGACTGTGCCTCAGTGTCATCTTTGGGGTCCTGAGGGTGCCCTCATCACAGAACTGGGTTGGGGCACATTGGCAGGGAAGCTTTAGTACTTTTGCATGCAGCTTGGGAGAGGACCACAATCATCACTGCCCCAAGTCTGCCAATTCACTTTCACATGAGGGAAAACAGAAAGAAAGAAAAACCCACAAGTTCTTCCTGTGGTAAGAGTTTGTTCTGGACATTCAGGAAGTTAAAATAATTTTAACCTTTTAGAGTGTATTTAAGATGTTTACATCACAACCACCACATATAGACCTTCCTCTGAAAGCAACTACTGTCTCCATATAGAGAGTTTTGGCTCACATGAAGAACTGACTGGCTAATAAAAGGTGCTGCAATTCCTGGGAAGAGGGCAACTAGTGAGGTGAGGATGCACCACCTTCTCAGGTATAATACAGAGGGAAAACAATAGGAACTAAAAATACTTACTGGCTAGAGGGAGAGAGGTGTAGCAGAGTCAAAATGGCCACTTTAGGACTGCACTTGTTAATCTCTGCCAGATTTAAAGGGCTAGCTATCAGAAGAGCATGCTGGGAAAGGTTCCTTCAGAGCTATGATATCCATGTAAAATCCTAGTGGAGAGAAGGCACTGTAGTTTTTACCTCGTTGTAGCTTAGGTAGTCAAAGTAAACTTCAGATGGGTGGAATATAAGGTTGATCTTGACTAGCTACAGAGAGGTAAAAACTACAGTGCCTTCTCTCCATGAGGATTTTACGTTGAGTTACCTACCTCAATGTAAGAAACACATCTTTTTTGTAGCCTACAAAGGTGAACCCATATTAGTGAGTTCAGTGGAAATCCCAGGGGAAGAAGTTCCAACTTTCTAAGGACTAGGAATCTAGATAGAATCCTGTGTGATATTTTCCCTTGTGTGCTTGAATTAAATATGACTTTTGGTTTTCTTTTAACATTATGTTTTTATAATAAAATTCTAGATTTTTTTGGGATATCACCTGCTTCTTGTGCCTAAAGTTTACTGCCACTGTATCACAGCTGATATATGTGCAGTCTCATTTTATGACAACCTGTCTTTATAACTACTACCACCTAGGTTTTTCCCTTCTGAGTCCACCAGACCTCTCAAATGCCTATCAGCTGAAAGAGGATAGCTCTCCTCTCAGCAGTTAGAAAATAAGAGTTACAAACCTGGGACAGCAGCAAGGCACTGTGGAGTGGAGAGAAAATGTTAGTTCAAAAGTTGATTATCTCAGTGGATGCCTGGGCACATTTGCTTATTTATAGGAATTGCCCTAGTTGATCTACCTTGTATTGAGGGAGGAACAGGCTCCAAAAAGGGGAAATGTCTTCCAAATAACAGAAAGCTGGTAACTGCAGTATGGTACATTATGAAATTCAATGTATCTACATTATAAAAATGAAGTTTATCTTTAAGCAGTTACTTCTACATAATGTAAAGCTTCCTGCCAAGTCTGTTTGCTCTACTACAATTGGAAAGCAAAAGATCAAATGTTAGATGTATTTTCCCAATTAAATATTACTCAGATAATTCCACCAGGAGAACACTCTAAGCTCATAGACTTTAAGGTCAGAAGGGACCATCATGATCATCTAGTCTGACCTCCTACATATTGCAGGTCACAGAACCTCACCCACCCACTCCTGTAATAGACCCATAACCTCTGGCTGAGTTACTGAAGTCCTCAAATCATGGTTTAAAGACTTCAATTTACAGAGAATTCACCATTTACACTAGTTTAAACCTGCAAGTGATCTATGCCCTGTGCTGCAGAGGAAGGCAAAAAACAAACCCCAGGGTCTCTGCCAATCTGCCCTGGGGAAAAATTCCTTCCCAACCCCAAATATGGCAATCGGTTAGACCCTGAGCATGCGAGCAAGACCCACCAGCCAGACATTTGGTAAAGAAGCTGCACAATTACCAACCTGTTGTGAAGCTGGAATGCTGGGACCCTGAGCATCTGAGGAACGAGTCACAGGCAATGGAGGCACAAGGTCTGTTTTTGCACTGGGAAAAAAAAAATTGAGATTATACTAGTTTGATGACTATTGTGAAAGAAAAAAGAATGCACTGAACAAGCTTGCAGTTTTAAAATCCACTTGCATTTTCCCCCATAGGGTAATAACAAAGCTGGTCCTTATGATAACACTTTCATTTAAAGACAATAAACAATTACAGATCCAAAGGAGAAAACATGTTGCTTTTTCTCCTGTATTTTTTAAACATTAAGGGCAAATTCTGTGGTCTGCTAAAGGGCCATAGAAAGTCTCATTAACAGGGGAACTGGCATGGTGCTGCACTACATGCAGGTCCTCACCAGAGAAAGGCCACACAAGCAGACTCCCTTTGCGCACTTCTGGGCTGCGCTCTGTAGTGGCTCTCTGCATGACTGGGAGGTGGGGGGAGGTATACAGCTAGTAGATCTGTGGCTACACAGATGTGCTTTCTGAGACCCCTGATGAAGCAGGAGCATTACTGAGGCCTTGCACAGGGGATAGGATTTGGCTCACAGTGCTTTGTCTTTTTGGTGATAGCTACCCATATTAGTGCAGAATGTCACAGGAACACCAGATCTGCCAGCACCAAAAGGGTAAATATATTTTCCCATGATTTTTTTCTGACTTGAGAAATGAACGCATTTTTTCTGTGCGGGCCTATTCATTTACAGTGACATAAAGATAGAAACAAAGTCCATTTAGGTGACCACAAAACTTCAGCCTGGGATTGGAGTGTGATGGAGTTTAGTTAATAAAGTCTCCACTACTATAAAATAGGTAAGAAATCTGTCTACTGAAGTAACACAAAGGAACAAGTATAACAAACCAAACTGTTGTTTGCGGTGTTGTTGATCCCAGGATATGAGACAGACCAGGTGGGTGAGGTAATATCTTTATTGGACCAACTCCTGCTGGTGGAAAAAACAAGCTTTTGAGCCTCATAGAGCTGACCTGAAGAAGAGCTCTGTGTATCTCAAAATCTTGTCTCTTCCACCAACAGTTGGTCCAATAAAAGATATTACCTCACCCAGCTTGTCTAACTAGATTGCATTCCCTTGAAATGCAATTGGGAAAATCTTGCTTTTTAAGTCTCCAAGTGTATCTTGAAAATGTTTTGGAGAGGCGGGGGACAGGAGAAGAAGAGGGAGGGAATTGCAGAACAGTCCTCTTACGGGCAGAATCGCTCCCAGCAGATGTGGGTGTGGGTGGTCAGGGAAGCTCTGCACAACTTCTAGTATTGGCATGTGCCTATAAGGCACAATTGAGCTGCAAACTAGGAAACGGCCCTTAACACAGACCAGGTGGTCATCCTAAATTAACCTTTCTGCTCCAAGTGCTGAGGCATTTCTGCATGCCCACCCCCTGTCTTTTATTTAATTTCTAGGTGACATGTAAAGCACAGTCTATTCCAGTAACCTAGCACTGAAATATGATATAGGAGCCCTTTATAGGTGATGTTACCAGTTTCAGACAATGCTATCTTATTTCCCTGAATCTTCCTGTTCTTGAGATCCTAGCCACAGTGTAAGGGGGCCCTCTGGAGTGTCCTGAGGAAGACGTTCCCAAGCTGCTTGCTGCCATGCAGTAGTGCTGGGTGTCTGACAGTTAATTTCCAGCCAGAAGCATGTGGTTTAGAAATGCAGATGAACTACAGGTGAGAAAGTCCACAAATGTCCCCATGTACACTCACTATGTGTCCCTCTGTTCAAAGGACAGCTGTGATGTAAGCCTGTTTTCCCCTGCCATCAAGTATGACAAAATCCTTTAAAAAATCCTTTATATCACGCACATCTTTGAGGGTCCAATCCAGCAAAATTAGCCTCTAAAACTGCTGGCCCATGGAATCTCTTCTCCCATAGAGACTGTTCCCCATTCAGGAAGGGAAGGGTCCCCATTCTAATGCACACAGAATGTCTAATTAGTTCTCAATGGTGGTCTCCCTCACAGGGGAGGAGTCTGCTCCTCTGCCCAGCCCAGTCAGCAATTAGCCCCTTGAGAATGACACTGGGCACCAAACATGAATGTGGGCTCTTTTCTAGACATCTAGACAGGAGTTTGTGGGGTAGTATTAGTACCGAGTGGAGGCCCAAATTACTGGCTTCTCCTGGCTATTAGCTCTACTGAGGTCCATCAAGTCAAATATGCATTCCTCTCAAATGATAATCAGAGGTGGGAGTCGTCCCATCCCCACCAACGGTTAGAGGGTAGGAGACAGCTGCTCTTCTTTGCTCACTTCTAGATACTTTGGGCTGGGAGCACGGCTGGTGTAGAGCCCTTGCACCAGCTATACACTGTGCATGGGACATTCTCAGGGAGCTGTTTCTGCCCCTTTAAGGCCTTAATGCATCAAGCCCTTTATTTTTTTTTCTCACTTCATAAGTGGTCTCTAGTCAATCTTTGTCAGTCTCTTTCTAGCCACCCACAGATGAGTAGGTGTCTACTGGAACTCTCAAGATCTGCACTGCAGCAAATGGAGAAACTGACTCTATTAAGGGTGTACGTCATTGGAAGCTAATTCACATAAACTCTCCTCTTCTCCCTCACGCATCTTCACAACCGCTGCTGAGGAGCTCGGCGTGTTCATTTTGGTTTCTGCAGCAGATTGCCCTTCCTTCTGAACAGGTCACCATCAAGCAAAGCAAGAATCCAAGGTCAAGAGGCTATAAATGTTTTGTGCTTCACTGAACTCCTTAGCTCTTACAGGATTGCCTGAGCACTATGTCAACACAACAGTCACATATATGCTACTACTAATTTATCTGTGAGCTCAGGGGAGCATCTGCGACATAGTAAAACCATCACATTCCACATACTTCACTTCAGACAGAACAGATCTCTCGCCATCAGAACACTGGGACCGCCGGTACTGCCGGTAGCTTCGGGGGGAATGTGAATGTCTAATGCGGATTGGGTCACCTTGAGTCCTAAATGAGAAACAAAATTCATAGTAGCAAATTAATACATCTGAGACTTTGCGCCGGAAAAGGAAATTTAATTTTGAATTGTAAAATCCTCCCTTTTCCTATTAAGAATAACATATGGCTTCCTGTGCTTACTGAATTCAAAGGAATGGCCCTTTCGTTATGTGTTTGTACTTCAAACTTTACATTTAAAGTTGCACAGTTCATTCTAAATGATACTGTCATGTGTGTATGTTGGAGAATGAAATTGTTGAATAAAAAAATGGAAATAAAAAAAAAATCCATTCTGTGGAATTTTACCATCACTGTGTTTTTTGCTCAAGGGTGAAGCAGAAGCACATTGTAAAGCAAACTGGGATTTCACTCCTGTCAAAAGCAGTTGTCCACACCACTATACAGCCTCCCAGATGGCCAGTTGTCAGAGTGAAATGGAGGTCTGCTCTGAAGAGACCTCGAATGCATTGGCAGCTGCCCGTGATAAGCAGGGGAAGAGGGGTCACATAGGTCAAGCAGCGACTTTAAAGAATCAGAATAGAAAGGTAAATTTTAAAAAAATGGAAAAGTTTCTAAAATAAATTGCGAGTGTAATGTGAAGAATAAATGCTGACAGATGGCAGAGTAGGAGAGGATGTTGATTTTGTTAGCATTTAGGTAAAGGGAAAGTACCTGGTTTAAAAATGATTCAAGTGTCTCTACCCTCCCCATTTGACCTACTCCATTCTGGATCAACATTTTCTAAGGAGTTCAAAAGATCAGAGATTATCGGGAGGCCATTCTAGTCTCAGACAAGCTATTCCACAGTGAGAGCCTCTGATGAAAGGGATATTAGGCTATTAAGCATACATACAGAAAAAATCCATATTTCATAATGAATAAACTCACTCTATTTTGGTGTACGGAATCTCTTTCAGCTGCTCCTCAGACAGCCCAGATGGATCCACAAGTTCCTTCCTGGAAAGGATTATACAAGGAAGATGAAATTCCAGAAGCTAACAAATCCATAACAAACAATTTATTCCTTCATTTTATTAGACCACAAAGATTTTCTGGAACCAGCTGTGTTCAGCATTAAAGCTTTCTAGATATCAGCATAGGAAACCTATTTAGAAGTGTGCCTAAAATCTTGATCACTTCCCCTGTGTGTTGTACCCTATTTCCCCATCTGTTCTAGTCTTTTCAGACTCTATGATCTGTGGCGCAGGCACCATATCTTCATACATGCCCACAACTAGTAGAAGAGGGGCCCTGATCCTAACTGGTGCTGTACTGAAAAATAAATAATAAAAATAAGAACATTTTGGAGTCTAGATAAGAACACACCTTAAATGTACTAGACAATAGATAGACATCATAGATGGACAGAAAGGAAAAAAATATAAAGTTTTCTAAAAGGCAGTGGGCTTGATTCTTCTCTGCCCTGAGCAGAGTGGATATAGCACATTACCAAATCAGAATGGTAGTGTTTTACATCCACACTGCATGACATAACTGACTAAACAAGGTGCAGAGCAGTAGTGCATCTGGCCCAATGGCTGTCCTTCCTAAATAGAGGCACCCTATACTGTACCTCCAAGTGTCACTAGTTCCAGCCGTGTCCTGTATTACTACTGTGTATTACATGCAAATGCTGAACATTCCTAAAGGCTAATTTCATTCTAGCAAAATGTTTTACCCACATGTTGGTTTTATAATTTATATAACGGAACTAAAAGTTTCAAAGTAACAATACTTACTGAATATGTTTCCATAACTCTTCCTTTGCTTGTACATCTGGGCTTCTCCTATAAACACCAACACACACACAAAAGAGAGTCAGATCTATGAAAATGTCATATTACCTGATGTGTTGCAGCACAGTGATGACCTTTAATGGCATAAATCAAGGACAGAAATCATGCCAAGTGTAATCTTAATATGGAGATATCCTATCTCATAGAACTGGAAGGGACCTTGAAAGGTTATCAAGTCCAGTCCCCTGCCTTCACTAGCAGGACCAAGTACTGATTTTTGCCCCAGATCCCAAAATGGCCCCCTGGAGGATTGAACTCACAACCCTTGGTTTAGTAGGCCAATGCTCAAACCACTGAGCTATCCTTCCCCATAACACTGACTTGAATGTTAAAGTTTGTTATCTGCGGGAAAGAATTAAAATTCACTGAAACTGAAAAGTCATTTCTTGAATGAAAGGCTCTGAGTTGAATCACAATTTCTTTTCCTCTTGCCTTCAGCAAAAGTATGTCTAAAACATTCCAAGCAAAAGAGTTCTTCATTACAAGCTGAAGCAAGCTAGAGCCACCTCTGCCTCACCCTATCCCACATGAACTTGGCACAGCTGAGGACTGAGGCCTCTCAGGGTGTCTACACTGCAGCTGGGAACAAGCCTCCCAGTCTTAGTAGTCAGATTAGTGCGAGTGCGGCTCACACTAGTGCTCTATGCTGTAAAGCGCTGTCCATAAATTACACAATGCATTAGGTGGTGGGTGGGTTCTAAATTTTGCATGTTTGATTCTGTGTAACAGAGTATTACAAGGGAGTAGGTGAGTCTTGAAAAGCACCAAATAATGCGTTACAGGACAGCCCACATGGATGTTACGCCACCGTTGACAGCGACTCAGGCTAGCCACTTGAACTTGGACTGAAGGGGCAGGACTGGTCTGGAGCTTGAGTGGCTAGCCTGAGCCTCCACCAGTGCCACAATGTCCACATAGTTATGTTTAGACTGTCAGCATGAGCCCCACTAGCATGAGTCTGTCTACATGGGCTGGAAGGCCTGCTGCCAGATGCAGTGTAGACACATTTTGGAGTTAAATTCACCCACTTACAGAGAGTCTACACAAACCCTCTTGCCACTTAAGGACAGTGTAGAGGCAGTAAGGAGAAGATAGCGTGATCATGCAGGGGGATATGACATATCCAGTCCTAGTAGTTTATGTGGATCCAACGATGAGACCCCTTGTGCAGTTTTGGTCACTATATCATGCTATAAACTGGAACAAACAGCCAGGGAGGAGATGCACTTTCATTAGAGGAAAAAAGAACAATGAGGATAAAAGTGGATCCCACTTTTGGGTGATGTTTAATTAGGAAGGAAGAGCCAGCATTAACTCCAGTTGTACTTTATTTATCTTGACCATTTAACCATGCCTTTTCTAATGTTTATAATAGTAAATAAATAAGTAATAACTATTACTGTAGTTGAACCACAAGTTATAGGCTGGATGCTGGAATTACTGAGTGAATTGATATGGTCTGCACTATGCAGGGGGTCCCTTTTGGCCTGAAATCTCTCTGAATAATAGTAAGAATAATTAATTATGTTACATTTACATAGTGCTTTCCTTTCCCAAAGGTCCCATTTTTATACAACTAACCTGTTTTCTCACATTTCTAGACATTAACGGTTCAATTTTTAAAAGCATTCAGCCCTGGCCTAACTCTGCTCCCTCTGAAATCATTGGGTTTCATTGACTTCAATAGGAGCACAATTAGGCTTTTTTGAAACTCTCTCACTGTGTACTAGCGGATGGCCAGAAATGTTCTGAAATGAAAGGATACAGAGATCTGAAAGAAGAGTGGGGAGAGGTGGGTATGGCAGAGTTTTGCATTTGTGTTAAATGTAAAGAAGCCTCTGCTGAATTGGCATTAGACGCCTTAGTGGCAGAGCCTAATCAAGATAGTTTAAAGCTCCCCTGCACTGCAGATTGCCTTTTCTTTCATGGAAAAATTAAAGATGTTTTTGTTTCACCTTTCACATTTTTGACTTATTTGTAGGTCTCAGCCTAGGGGAATAACATTTAGTAACATTTGTTTTGACTTAATATTAAATGTTTTCTAGATGATCTAGAAATAAGAACTGTTAACTTTTGAGATTTTACAGGTGTTCAGGTGTTGAAAGATACTATAGTGACTGGCACGACATAAATACCTGAGAGATCAGAGAGGTGGAAATTACCTTTTGCATTTATGGTTCTCTAATGGCATTCAAAGTGAATCTTTTTACAATATTTTTAGGTTTTGTCATGAAATCTGATGGTGGGGTTTTTTGTGTATGTCAATCTATTTCTTCTTCTCTACCCTCCCACTTCTCCTCCTCTCTCTCTTCTGCCTTCACCTCTTTTTCCTCCTCTTCCTCCTTTCATGCCATGGTGCTTTCATCTCCCTGAGGTAGCAGCTAGGTATAGGAATGGGGATTTTAATGTCATATTTCACCCCTTAATTCTGAACTGATTTTCTCCTTTCATTCAATCCCAGACTTACAAAGCAGCAGCTGTGAACTCTGCACTCACCCTGGGGCTCTTCTGAGTCTGAATAATCAGCCACTAGGGATTGTGAAAGCCAATGCAAGATGCACCCCAGCTCCTCAAGGGAGGCTAGTACATTGCTTTTATAATGCTCATAAGTCCTAGCTAGCCTGAGGTAGGAGAGCACCCAGATCCCTCCTGAACCCAGTGCTCCCACAAGGCAATGTTCTGTGCAATCCACCAAACCACTGACCTAGACCACATTTTTATTTTTTTATGCAAATAAAACTATTCACTACTTGGCCCTCAGGGCCGGCTCCAGGCACCAGCTTGTCAAGCAGGTGCTTGGGGCGGCCGCTCCGGAGAGGGGCGGCACGTCCAGGTATTCGGCGGCAATTCGGCGGACGGTCCCTCACTCCGCCTGGGAGCGAAGGACCTCCCGCCGAATTGCCGCTGCAGATCGCGATCGCAGCTTTTTTCTGTTTGTTTGTTTTTTTTGTTTTGGCTGCTTGGGGCGGCCAAAACCCTGGAGCCGGCCCTGTTGGCCCTGGATGTCCTACTATCACCTATCATTGCCAGCAACCTGTTTTGCATTGAGAAATCCTGACTTCTGCTGTAAAATCTTAAGACCAGGCAAGATAAGAAGCTACTTTGACTTCATCATTCTCTAAAAGCCACATATCCTGAACCTGTAAACAATCCACTGCATATTTCTGAGCTTTCATCCTTAATGCGTATCATCACTCAACATCAAGGGACAAGGGGCTTTCCCATTAAATCAAAGGCATCCTTGATCATTAATACCAAACAACAGTATCTCTCTCCCCCCACCCCGCGCCCCTCATTTTATAATCCACAGTTCAGAGAAGAGTTCAGCTACTGTGTTATGCATAATGTATATTCAGACTGTCCTGTTATAAATCTGAACTGAGTTCTGAACAGACAGTACCTTCTGGACCGTTCCTAAGCTAATCAGATTCTCTAATGCTCAAGGAATCTAATGGGAATTTCCATTAAATGCTGTCTCCAAGGTTTTTTTAAATTTTATTTAAATTTTATTTTTTGTTTGTTTTTTACAAGCTCAAACAGCCCTAGATGCTAATAAGGTCTACGTTAATTTTATGCCCGCATCTGTACTCTTATTAACAATTCATTTTGAATTCATGATTTGCAAATAGGCAGCATTTAGTGGATTTAAATAGCCATGGAATTTAAATGGCCATTCTTCTCAATTAAAAAATCCCCTTTGGCTACACAGATGTTTTACTTGAACTCTTGAAAATAAGCCTGGCAGAACTAGAATTTGGAGCTTTTTACATTTGCTGTCCCCATAAAAAGAAACAAGGGTCAAATACTTGTCAAATATTTTTCCAAGAAAAAAATGTAGCAAAAGAACTAACACTGAATGTTATTCTTTATCAAAGAAATTAAGGGCGATGAGTCCACATTAAATCAGACACAATTAAAGCTGATTTGTCCCTCTACCTCAAATTACTAAAGTGAACCAAATTTGTAGTTAAATTCAATGCAGTGCAGATAGTAATTAACACAAAGTCCATGTCTATACTATTAAAATGACAGAGTTCAAAGCATTGTTAAATGTGTGAACTGGAATGAATCGTGTTATGACTAGACTAAAACAAACAAACAAACAAATAACCCCATACTTTGCACTAGGGACCTGATTTTTCTCTGTTTTACATAGGTCAAGCCATGTTATCACACAGCTGAGCCACAACCAAGTTTGATAAATGCTGTTACACCCTACCGTAGCTTGAGTCTATCTATCTTGTTTAATTTTGTATGTAGCGTAGATACACGTTCCAGGATATTAAAGAGATAAGGTGGGTGAGGTTGGTAATATCTTTTACTGAACCAACTTCTGTTGGTGAGAGAGACAAGCTGTGTCTCTCACCAACAGAAGCTGGTCCAGTAAAAGGTATTATCTCAACTACCTTGTCTCTCGTGTTTAATTTTGCCATTTAAATGGTTAAAAAGCTTTAATTTGATCATTTTTGTAAGAAACATCTTTAAAGAGCCAATGTTTTATTTTTCCAGACTATTTTTGTCCATGTCGAATGTTTTTATTGTCAATTTGTTTTGTTCTATTTTGCTTAGAAAGATAAACAGATGATGCAAATATATTCATCCCTATCACAATGAAGAGAAAAAAAACCACATAATACCCTAAGATTTGTCTCCTCACCATCTAGGATCTTGTCTTGTTCTGTAAAGCACTGTGTACATTTATATTGCTATATCAATAATATTTAATGAAAATATAACCTATCAAAGCCTTTTACACGACTGATCTAATTCAGTGTTTCATCATTGCATGAGTTAAACTAGCCACGAGAGGGAGCCTCTGGTGTCTCATTAATGTAATAGAAACTTATCTGGCAAAGAAAAAGTTAGTTACAAATTTTATAAAAGAGCTAGAAATTTAGAGTGCACTTCCTGGTTTAAAACATGCTCTCTATATAGGAGGTAACAAAAAGTAATGGAAATCACACTTACTTTATGTTTTATAGCTTCAACACAAATGAAATAATTATATTGACACTTTTTAGCTATGTATTTTCCTATAATAAGTCTACCTATTAACATTTGATTTTTAAGTGATGGTGAAAGAAAACAGATCTGTACAAAGCCTGTAAAACTCTTAACATTTGGAATTTTAATGGCACTACCCATTTCTCATAAAGGAAGAAAAACTGTGACATATGGAGTTAGAGATAAAAATGAGTTCTGATGATATTGGTAACCATGAGAACTGAACTCAGGTGGCTTGTAATATCAGAACTGTGAAATGTCAACACAGATATACAGCTTTATATCGTAGTTTGGTTTTGTTCTTTATATTCAATAGATAAGAGTAAAATAGTTGCACATTTGTATGTTGTATGTATTCATCAAATTTCAATTTATTTCCTCTGCACCCCTGATGAATAAATCCTTCCAGTCACGTTATTAAAGTAATTTTGCACATTTTAAAAAAATCTTTTGAAGTATGGTACAACCCTCTTAAAAGAAAGTCTTTTTTTCTCCACAGAGCTTCACTTTAAGGGGAAGCTCTCTAGAATTAGAACTGCAATCTACACAAGGCGATGCATTGAAACAATTCAGGACCTACCCTCAACTTACCTATAAGCAAAGTTTCATTATATCTTTTCACTGGGGGTCAAGATCACCCCTCCTTACACTAAGCATGAGTAATACTCTTTGTGAGGGGAGCTAAACAGAGACAAGAAGCAGCTGTTCCATTCTGCGGGCAAAGTAGATGTTACTGCCCCTTTGCAGTCCATGCCCAGGGGTCTGGTACCACTGGATGTGGCTAAGTATTATTTCTTGGTCCTGCTGTACCAGCATATTTTAAACCAACCTAAAACCCCACTGGTATACAAGAATGCAGAGACGCCCAACATAACCCCACTACCAGGCGTAAGCATGTAGAGAATCCTCTACATCTGGATTTGTTGCATGCTATATGTGGGTTCAACTGTATTCCCCCCACCCAACCAAGTTTTTAAAGTATTGGAGCTCTTGGTAGAAAAGTCTGACTCCACCATTTTTATTAGTTTACATTTTGAAATCAATAGTTAATTTTGTGTAAACTTAGTAAACACATTGTGTTTACTATTTCCCAGCCTCTTGGGTGCCAGAGCTTGGACTGCGTCTACTGGTGACATGGAGATGCAATGTCCCAGCGAAGGCCTGGATCTGTATTCGAAACATTTTGTTATTTTTATGGCATAAATCTATAAATCATTATGAGGGAAAATAAATTCAGCAATTTGATGTTTCACACAGTTCCAATAGTTCTGGCTTAACATGGAAGGTAACTAAAACTTATATTATGAGACTGTAGCTGTGTAAGTGGTAGAGCGCATGACCTTGCTCCCGTATTAAGCCACAGGCATCCTGGGATGGACAATTCATCCATTTTAGCCAGGCAACTAGGCTATGGTAGTAGTCACGCTACTCTCTTGAGTACTGTCCCGGGCCTCCCAGCTGGTCTCCTGGCACTCTTCAACATGCTTTCCAACCCTTCTGCTCTGCCATGGATCCTCTGGCACTTTCCTTTAGATACCTGGGAGCCCCACCCTGCCTTTGACTTTCTCTAGTCACAAGTTATGCTGGACATTAATGCTACCAAGAATAATATTCCTGGAATCTCTCTAAACCCTGACCATGCACAGAGTAAAAAATAATCAATACAATGTTTTCATTAGTTCACAAGAAAATTAATTTTAGGAACTGGCAACTTCACTGTTCAGTGGATGGCTGAAGATATGCACGGCATTGCCTAGCAACACCACTGTATCACGGAAATCTTGACAGCAGGTTATAATAAATCCCTGACTGCTGCTTACAAATGGTAATTTGAAGTGAAGCTGTTAGTGGCTGGTCTAATCTGGAACAGTATTTCATAGATTTTTTTTTTTGGCTAAATTAAATTGTGTGGGAATTTCACAAAGAGCAACCCTCACATACTATAGTAAAATAAAATGTCACTTGTAGATCTTCACTTGCTGTACAAAGGTGGGGAACGTTATTATGCCCATTATAGAATTAGGGCCACAAAAAGGTCTAGTGACTTGCTCAAGCTCACTTATTGAGTCAGTGGCAGAGTTTTTAATAGAACTCACATCTTCTTACTTCCAGCCTCACGCTCAAACCACTACACCAATGGAGGGGGACTACAAAGTGGACTATTCCTAGAAGTCATGCTAATGCGAGATTAAACCAAGTAAACTTCAATAAAGTTACAGAGAGTCCTGTGGCACCTTTAAGACTAACAGATGTATTGGAGCATAACCCTTCGTGGGTGAATACCCACTTCGTCAGATGAAGTGGGTATTCACCCATGAAAGCTTATGCTCCAATACATCTGTTAGTCTTAAAGGTGTCACAGGACTCTCTGTTGCTTTTTACAGATCCAGACTAACGTGGCTACCCCTCTGATACTTCAATAAAGTTGCCATTCCTGAACAGCTAACAAAGAAGTAATAATAATTAGGTCAGAATTATTTTTCCTGGTGCAAAATACATTACAGTGGTCTTTGATTTCATGTCAAAGTGTGGAAATGCTCACGTACGATCGAGATCTGTGCCTGGATCGCCTGTAGTTGGGATCAGCCTGGTTTTTCTCTTTTTGTTGCCTCAGTACTGCTTCCCACTGAGGAGCTGAATCCACCATGTCATTCTCCTGCCGTAACCTGCATAAAGAGCAACACACCTAGAGTAAACATCTGGAGGATCAATGCTTTGGCATTGGGTGTGTTTTGCAGTATTTTTTGAGGGAATTCTGGTGTTATTCAAACTGCTATCTGGGTGGGGCAAGCCAGGGCACAGATCACCCCAATAATCAGCAGGGGCACTGAACTCCTTTGGCCCTGGGGCTGCGGTGGGGAGACCGAGGTTCTCTGGCCCCTGGGGCTGTGGTGGGGGCACAAAATGTGCTCCTCCAAAAGCCGACAAATTTTTATTTCTGCGCACACCCCAACTGCTATCTTAAAAAGAGCTGATCAGCAAGCTTGGTTACAACCACATTTACATAAGATTTATAACTTTCCTTTTACTTTACTTATTTCCTAAAACCATTACAAAAACAAGAGCTTGTATCAAAGAAAACAAAATGTATTTAGAAATTAAAAAAAAAATTCAGTTTGTACAAGAGGAAAATCAATCCAAACCAGTAAAACATGGCCTCCAATTTGAATTAGACCATCTTCCTAACCTAAGCCGAAAGCACTCCCTAGAGCTGTATGCTGATTTTATTTTGCTTTTCAAATCCACAGACTTTTAGTATAAGTCTGGTATTGCAGTTCACGTTTCTGCAATTGTTTCTAAATACTCGGGGCCAGCTTGCTCCCTTCTGTGGCAAAACCACTAACAGGGGCCTAAGGAGTAGGAAGAGTCCACATGGATCTCCTTGCAGAGTACCTGCTCAAAAACAGTCTGCAGGATCAAACCGTAAAGCCTGAAACTCCCTCAGGATCTGGGTAGATTCCAGGGAAGAGGAGGAGTCCAGGACTATTTTCACCAGCTCCATGAAGCTCATTACAGCTATGGCTGCAGACCTGGCAGTACGGCTCTAATGAAGCCAGGCGACCAGGGCCTCCCTTGCCCACAGCTGTGTTGAGACCTCTCCAACCTACCCATTTCACCCCAAACCTGCCAAGTCCCTGCTGCATCCCCCCTGCAAGGCACTTGGATTCACATGGGACACATTATATGGGATCCAGAAGTGTGAGGGACACTGCCATGGATGCTGCTCAGTCTCCCTTGCATGCAGGAGGCAGATCTATGCACAGAGGGTTACCTACATGTATGAATCCAAGGGACAAAAATGAAAAGAGGAGTCTAGTAAATGTCCTGAGGGTTTCCCTAGAGAATGATACTGTGAAGTCAAGTGTCTGTTGTTTGTAAGAACAATGCGTAAGAGGTTCAGAGTGCCTAGTTACTACAGCAACTGATGCTTTAGAGATAGATGGGATGGATTGCTGTAAGTGAGGAGGTAAAAAATAGTCTAGGTACTCGGAAGTATCCAATCTAGAACACATTCTGAGAAGAGATTCTATTTGGAAATTTAAATATCTGTTGTTTAAAATGAACAGTAATAATTCTTTCAAATTGATTTCACTGATCTCTAATGTCTAATCCTTATTCTAATAATGCCCAAAACAGATCAGTGTAAAATGAGATATAATCTAATGTAATAAGTGAGAAATGTACCAATGGGAATGTGCTTAAAGGCAGAAACCCATATACAGTGCACTAGCATAGCTAGTGTTTATCCTTTTTGATAGGGTTTAAAAGCAAATCCCCTGTATCCTTCTATATCCCTAAAAATGTCCAAATTCTCTATGAAGAGGTTCCAGTGCCAATTCAACACACTTATTTTCAAATGCGATATGTTTTTAAAAAAATGACAGATCCGTTAATCAGTCCATGATTCACAGCTAGTGCAGATTGGAATGAATGTCAGCAATGAATTATACGCTCTGCATCTCTAATAACAAACTGATCTTATTTCAGGGTGATCATAGAATCATAGAATATCAGGGTTGGAAGGGACCTCAGGAAGTCATCTAGTTCAACCCCCTGCTCAAAGCAGGACCAATTCCCAACTAAATCATCCCAACCAGGGCTTTGTCAAGCCTGACCTTAAAAACCTCTAAGGAAGGAGATTCCACCACCTCCCTAGGTAACCCATTCCAGTGCTTCACCACCCTCCTAGTGAAAAAGTTTTTCCTAATATCCAACCTAAACGTCCCCCACTGCAACTTGAGACCATTACTCCTTGTTCTGTCATCAGGTACCACTGAGAACAGTATAGATCCATCCTCTCTGGAACCCCCTTTCAGGTAGTTGAAAGCAGCTATCAAATCCCCCCTCATTCTTCTCTTCTGCAGACTAAACCATCCCAGTTCCCTCAGCCTCTCCTCATAAGTCATGTGCTCCAGCCCCCTAATCATTTTTGTTGCCCTCCGCTGGACTCTTTCCAATTTTTCCACATCCTTCTTGTAGTGTGGGGCCTAAAACTGGACACAGTACTCCAGATGAGGCCTCATCAATGTCGAATAGAGGGGAATGATCACGTCCCTCGATCTGCTGGCAATGCCCCTACTTATACAGCCCAAAATGCTGTTAGCCTTCTTGGCAACAAGGGAACACTGTTGACTCATATCCAGCTTCTTGTCCACTGTAACCCCTAGGTCCTTTTCTGCAGAACTGCTTCCTAGCCATTCGGTCCCTAGTCTGTAACAGTGCATGGGATTCTTCCATCCTAAGTGCAGGACTCTGCGCTTGTCCTTGTTGAACCTCATCAGGTTTCTTTTGGCCCAATCCTCTAATTTGTCTAGGTCCCTCTGTATCCTATTCCTACCCTCCAGCGTATCTACCACTCCTCCCAATTTAGTGTCATCTGCAAACTTGCTGAGAGTGCAGTCCATGCCATCCTCCAGACCATTAATGAAGATATTGAACAAAACCGGCCCCAGGACAGACCCTTGGGGCACTCTGCTTGAAACCGGCTGCCAACTAGACATGGAGCCGTTGATCACTACCCGTTGAGCCCGACGATCTAGCCAGCTTTCTATCCACCTTATAGTCCAGGGGTAGGCAACCTATGGCACGCGTGCCGAAGGCGGCACGCGAGCTGATTTTCAGTGGCACTCACACTGCCCGGTTCCTGGCCACCAGTTCAGGGGGCTCTGCATTTTAATTTAATTTTAAATGAAGCTTCTTAAACATTTTAAAAACCTTATTTACTTTCCATACAACAATAGTTTAGTTATATATTACAGACTTATAGAAAGAGACCTTCTAAAAATGCTAAAATGTATTACTGGCACGGGAAACCTTAACTTAGAGTGAATAAATGAAGACTCGGCACACCACTTCGGAAAGGTTGCCGACCCCTGTTATAGTCCATTCATTCAGCCCATACTTCTTTAACTTGGTGGCAAGAATACTGTGGGAGACCGTATCAAAAGCTTTGCTAAAGTCAAGGAATAACACATCCACTGCTTTCCCCTCATCCACAGAGTCAGTTATCTCCTCATAGAAGGCAATTAGGTTAGTCAGGCATGACTTGCCCTTGGTGAATCCATGCTGACTGTTCCTGATCACTTTCCTCTCCTCTAAGTGCTTCAGAATTGATTGCTTGAGGACCTGCTCCATGATTTTTCCATGGACTGAGGTGAGGCTGACTGGCCTGTAGTTCCCTGGATCCTCCTTCTTCCCTTTTTTAAAGATGGGCACTACATTAGCCTTTTTCCAGTCATCCGGGACCTCCCCCGATCGCCATGAGTTTTCTCCAGCCAAGACAATCAACATGTTAAGGCAAGGTCATTCAGGCCTAGCCAAAAGTTAGCCAGTCTTGGGGGTGGATATGTTTATTGGGGGTGATCAGATGCAAAGATGGAACAGGCAAATAGGATATGAAACTGTTTAGTGACAGCACTGAATATAATCCTGCAGGAATTAAGAGACAGACCATGTGAAATACCACTCGGAGGGTGTCTGATATGACTACAAACCAGGCATATTAAAGAAACCTGAAAATAGGACTGGGAAGGAAAACTCGAGAAAAAAAGATGCCAGAAAGATATTTCTCTGACAGGCTGGCTGATCAAGAGGGTCAGAAAGGAGATATCACTCCCTTGGAAATATAAGGTATTTTATTCTTATTGTTGTTGCCAGTAACAAGCTTTATCTAGATGAATTTTTAATTATATCAGGTTAGCGATGTTATGTAAACTGTTTCTGTTTCTTTCATCTGATTTTTTCTATATATGTTTAATGACTCTTGGGCTGGATCCTCAGCTAGTGCAAATCAGCAAAGCTCTGTTGCGTGGCACAAAGCAGCCAGAACACACGGGCGCATCAAGTCTTCATCTCTAAATAAGTCACTTTAAACCTGTAATCTGCAGTAGCAAGAATTAACATAAATTTATGTATAGAAATGTAATATAGGAACTCACATATCAACAGGTAATTCATTGTGATTTTCATCCAAAAATCAGTCAGTTTGTGGAAAGGGCAGCCATCATACATGGTGTAAATAGTGTCATATGCCTTGATATAGTACAGTCGTTTAAACCTGTGCAAAATGCTACCAAATCAGAATGGCAGTATTTGACACCAATTTTGCTCATTTGTGACTACAAATGTGCCAGGCAATGGAGAACCAGGCTCAGTATCTATTAATAGATGGCATCCAGACTGTTGAGGAGGCATGTGACCTCTGCTGGAGGTAGGATTTCATAAATATTTAGTTGTCTGGCATAAAAAATTAAAAACCAGCTGCAATACACTACAGATTACAGCAGAGCATGATGTATGCACCCACTGGCTACAATGTGAGTGAGACTGTACACCTTGGTGATAGTGTTTAAAATTACACTCCTGCACTGACCATCCACTTTGTCAATAGGCTTCTGATTAATGATCTTTCATAAAATAAACAAGTCCTTTCTTCTGCAGCCAACTCTACTACTGGAAATCCTTGGGGCTAATAGGGAATGAAATTACAACTACAGCAGGAAAGTGCCTTTCTACAGCTGAAAGTCTGACAGTGCTAAAGATAAAGAATGACAAAATAAAAAAGAGAAAAGATCTCGCAGACTGGGTATAGGTTGAAACCATCGTTGGTTTCTGAGCTAGCAAAGATTCAAACAACACAGTTCTGCTTTTGCTTAAACAAATACAA